TATATATATATATATATATTCAGTCTGAATAAACAAAACGATGGCTTTAATGTTTAATGGGAACTACTCATCACTTAGATATCACCAATTCAAATTCAAACTTAAAATGGCCTTTCAATGTTTTTTTGTTTGTTTTTCTTCAATTTCACCGTTAGCTTGGTGAACTTAAAGTGACATCTCCGTGTCTGTGACCAGTGTTTACTGATGTTCCGAAAATAAGTTGAATAAATTAAAAGAACATCTATACATCAGTTCATAAATGAAATTGTTTAAATTGGTACTGCCTTGAGCTATTGTTTTGGAATAAATGTAAAGATGCTTAAACACTAACTTGATGAGATGTACTATATTAAAATTATTTAAGTATTCTAGTATATGTAAATATTTTAATCGATTTGTATTAGTATATTTGACATGAAAAGGTTAATTTCATCACACCGGCCACTGGCAGCATTAGTACATCCGGGTGCTTCCAGTGACCTTGGGTTGTTGGTGAGAAAGAATCATGGCGGCTCTTGTCAGGATAAGTTCTGTTTGCTACAGAGGTGTCCGCCGTAAGTTTGAGTGTTTTTCATGCTTTTGTTCTCGGCACCTCATTGTGTATCACAGTTCAGCTTCAAGGTCGTATGTAAAAAATAAAAAAAAAATAATAATAATAATTCTCCGTTTCATGTTAATGGCAGCACGCGTACTCGTAACGTTACTGATAGCTAGCATGCTAACTTAACCCTGTGAAACATTTCTCAACTGTCTCTCTTCTCTTTCTCTAAATTAACCAGTTATTTATATTTATGTAAAACTGTTGGTAAACGTAATAGTGTACACCGTAAGACTGAGACTAGAAGATGACATGAATTTGATCAGTGTATAAAAAGGTCTGTGTTTATATTTATTATGTTGGCTGGTTTTAAATGATTTGTCATTTCTAAGCATTGTATGAACATCATCACTGACCTCATTCGTTACAGATGAACATCAAATTAGTACATATACTTGAACTTTTAATTCTGAATACTTCTGTTTTCTTGTATTGTTTGTTCTTGTCACTTTCCACAGCTCTGTTATTTCGCTCTTCCTCCCTCATCAGACCTTTAGCTGTACAGAAGAAGGATCGTGATTGTCCATACTTGATATCAGCGAAGATACATGCTACTCCATCCAATTATGGTTAGTGATTTACATTGTGTGCTTTTTTTGTAACATTGTAAATCAAGACAGAGCTTTTTGTCTTTTCCTATCATTTTATTATTCTAATATATAGTTGACCGTACTGCCAGCCTCTCAATGGGTCTTAACATTCAGATGTCCAAATCTATTCATGGTTGTTTCATTAGTCAAGTAAATGATAATTGACAGGTGACTACAGTGTGACAGAAGATAAATGCTGAATGTGGAAATTGCTAACCATCTGTCAGTTTATCACTGGTAAAGACAGAGTGGAAACATTGGTCATTTAGAGCTACAGACTCATCTTCAGCTTTTTCTTTCCCTCTGCTGGGGTACTGGATGATTAAATGCATGTAGTAAGTGTTATTAAAGGTGATGGCTGGAGACATATACTGCAGATGTGTTGACGCACATGCTCTTTTATAAAGAACATTTGTTGATGTTACTGTTTTTTTTTTTTT